CTGGTGGGCCATCAGGTTCAGCAACTGTTTACCAGCAAGTGACTCTGAGCACCTGCTCACACCTCAAGGGCTTGGTCTCCACGAGAGAGACCTTCTGCTTGAAAGACTCGTGAGCTGTGCCCCTACCCTCACTGAGCCAGGCCCAGCTCCTGTAACACATGCCCTAGCAGGGAGCTGGCTGCTTACTCCCATTACTCCCACAGTCTCTCCCAAGCCCCATCCCTCAGTTGAATCTAGCGACACACAGTGTCCCCTTTGGCCCTCCCTCCCTCTTCCAAACCAAGCTCATACAGACTGTTCCCACTGGCAGATGCAGGCCTAGCAGCCCCTTTCCTGCTGCTAATGATTTCCCCCCTTGGGGCTATACAGTGGCTAACTGCAAATACGTTCTGTCTTTGAAGATACACTCACACTGCCATCCAAGCCCCTGATTTGTCCTAGTGAGCCAGCTCAAAGCCTGGTCACAAGCACTTGGGGGACTGCAGCCACCCTGCTTGTCTTACTGCTGGAAAATGCCTAACACTCCACCGGCACCCTTCCAGGCACCATCGGTTGGGCCCAGCACCCCTTGCTGAACTCACCTCTTCACCGTGCGGAGCAGGGTAGAACGTGCCTCATTGTGGAAGGTGATGATGAGGCTGGTAGCTGACAAGTCTGTGTCATAGCGTACAGAAGTGCACCTGCAACACAGCAGAGCAGAACTGTAAGCCAAACATCACCCAGCAGCAGCTACTGCAGCGACGCACATAGAATTTCTTAAGAGGAAGAGAATAATATGCTAAAATCAGAAACAGCACAGCTGAGATGCAGCAACGGAGGCCTCAGCAGCCCCTGCACCAAGGCTGGCAGAGTTTAAAAAGAACCGTGCCTGCTGAAAGGCAAAGTTTTGAGGCTGTGATACCTAAATTCACGAGGCTGCATGCTGAGGAGGGCATGTGGGTTTTACGGTGAACAAAGTTGCAACACCATGGACTCTAGTGCCTGGATTTGCCTGCGATTCATGTAAAATCTTGTTTATTCATGCAAAGGACAACCACATGCCAAGGATGCATTCAGCTGGTACACCCAAGCATTGCTGTATAAAGCACTCCAAATTCTTTGGGCATTGGGCTTTACAGAAAGGAAAACACTAGCTAGTGCTGTGGTATGCATCAGGGAGTTGCTGGGGTTCAACACTAATACCTCAGCTGGCAATGGAAAGCAATTCCTCCCATTTTCTCATCTGACTTCATAATGTTAGGTACATATGTTCATTCTCATATTCAGAATCAAGGATTAACTCAAGATCAGCTCGCACCAGGGCTGCTCATACCCTGTGGAGAACAAGGATTCTTGAAGGAGAACAACCCACAGATGTGAATCCTGGATCCAATTCTGGCAGATACTAGGAACTGCAGATTTGGGCTGATCTGTTCCTCCAGAGTGTCTGCTGCCTTAACTTCCAGCCAGTGTCAAACAGCAGTCAGTCTGCACTAATTCCATGCCTGATGAGGAGCCCACACCTGAAATTGTGGCCTAGTCCTTTTAATAATTCAAGGGCATGCATAGACTGAATCCACCCTGTCAGGGAATACAATTCAGTTCTTACAGCCAGTATTTGTACCTCCACATTTACTTACTATTCTTTTATGACTATTACTAAACTGTTACTGTTTTTATCATGACATTCAATCCTACCAGTTTATGACTTTTTCATTGCAGTTTTTTATTAAGGGGATAGCAGCTTCTTATAGCAATTTTCAAACATATAAAGAAACCTTGAAAAAGACTAAAGTGGAAAGCCTGAGACCAGACAGGAGACATACCACATTTATTATTGTTTCAAAATAACCCCATGATGTAATGCATAGAAAATGTATTAAGGCATCATGAAGTGGAAAAGCAAAAGAGGTTGGGGTATGTGTTCTTTCGGAAAGTTTTCCCAAGATCTCGGCATTATTACAGCATCACAGAGGACAAGGACAACATACGTGCTTGAAAGTTGGCCCTCTCTTTGTTTTGGATCAAAAAAACAGCAATATGTTATGTCAGAAGAAGCTTGCAGGATGTGGAGTCAAGTATGTCTAAGCTCCGCTCAGGTGACTGAAGAAAAAGTGACATGTTAGTGACCTATTGATCCCACACTCCTTAAACAGGGAGCCAGGTCCATTTGTGACACAAGGATGGGCTTTCCTCAAACCACATTCTAACTTGTATCAGCTGAACTAAGTCCTCATCCTACATTGCCATCCCAGCAACCATTCCAGTGTTGCTACAAGACAAAGTACTTAAACACAGCTCCCTCATTCCCAAACTGGAACCCCTGCAAAGGGGAGGAACGTGGAAATAGGTTTATCTGCTCTGATTATACACTACTTTGGACTCCCCATTGCTGAAGGGAATCCTTGCAAAGCTGGGGCTGAAATAACCACACATTTCGAGGGAATCACATATATGATGTTCTTCAGACTGAAGTGCATAGATGAGGCTTTTCACCAGAAGCATGCTCTGCATGCTACCACAGCTCAAAATAAACAATAACTCACCTTTGAAGTAAGTAAACTGTTTTTAGGCCAGAACATGCAGCAGATCAAGAGAAAACAGCAATTCTGCATGGCAGGGAGACCTGTCAGTAACACAGGACATGGCACCGCTGCCTCTGAGTCACTAGGAAGCCAATGCCGAGTACTATGCTAGGGAATAGGAGCATAAGACTTTGATCTTACAACCAAGGTCCCAACTGCTGCATTCACAAAGCACCCTGATGGCTGTCAGTGCTGGCAGGCTCACAAAGCTCTGTGCCTCCTGACATCCCTTTCACAGTTTCAATCAAGCTTCAGACAGCCAGGGCACAGCAGGTGAGGAACACCACTGTAAAGCAAGGCTGCAACACCAGCTTACCTTGCAGCCAGGACAGAGGGTCCTTGAGAGAAGCCATGAGTGTGAGGGGAGTTGTGTAAAAAAACAACTGTCAGATGAGCAATTTGAGCTGCAATGGAGGGGCTTGTGCTGAAACAACAAGACGATGCTTGGGCCTAGGAGAACAGATGCTAGAAAAGCAACAAGATCGGGCCAAATCAGTCAAGGGACTCTGTGCATTCAAGACCTTTCCACATTAACCACGAAATGCAGTGAAGTAGTGGGCTGATGCTGGCGAAGAAAAACGCAAACAATTGTCAACATTGCAGAACAACACAGGACGGCAGTGGTCTCCCCACACCAAGCAGCAGCCATGGCTTGGAGCAAGGGCTGCACGGTACCTGTAGTGCCTGGTGTCCCGAATGGGTCGGTCACTGCCAAGTTTGTCACTCTCTAGCTGATTAAAAGCATGCTGGCGGTAGGGGTCTTCTCCAGCCTTCAGCAGCTTTGAGGACAAGTAAGCCTTTTCGTCAAAACCCCTCCGGCTGTTCTTCTCTCCTTGTGGAGCCCTTGTCATCTAGAGAATAGACAAGCATCAGAACATCAGGGAGAGGAGCAGACTCATGTTTAGATACGGGTAGTAAGTTCAGACATGCATACAGAAAGGCAAGCTGTTTGCCACACATCTGGAAGTGGTTCAGGTATCGGGGAAAGCAGGACAGGCAAGAGCTTGGAAAGGAAAGCAGGAAAACCTCACAGATGTGGTGTTTATAATTGCCTTCTCAGAGGAAAACTGCAGGCCTTGCTATCCTTATCAACTGAGCTTGGGATGAAAGCTGCTGTTCCCGATAGCACAGGCAGAGCCAAATTCCCTTTAGCACTTGTTACACAGAATGCATGAGACCGCAGGCATTTGGAAACCCTTCCAGGCAACGCGGGTTTGAAGCATCCTCCAATGTGGCTGAAACACAGTATTTGGAAGAAAAACAGTTTCAGCCTTTCAGCAATTGCTATCACATACAAACACAAAGGCAGCTGATATATCAGGCTCCCTGCTGCGCCTTGCCCCATCTCATGTCAGTCTGTGACAGAGTTGGAAGCTGCATGTGACTGTCCCCAGTCCCACGCAAGAGCTAAAATCCCTGGGCCATCCCTCTCCTCTCCTAATTTCCCTCTAGCTTTCCTTGGCCACAGAGTCAGTGCAATGCCAGCACCTAAAGACCAGTCACTAGGACTGCTAGGAAGCAGGACAGGCACAGTTCTGGCCCATACTGAACTCTAAAACTAAACTCTAAAACTAAAAACCACAGCAGTTGCTCTGTCACCTGATGACCTCTCAGCAGCCAGGAAGGGGATTTGGGAAAAGGAGAGGAGATTCACGAGTTGAAGTGAAAACAGATCTAACAAAACAGCACTAACAAAACCATACAAAGTTCTAATGAACAAATGCGCAGCAGTCACAATCAACAGAAGAGCAGTCCTCAAGAGCACGGAGAAGACCCCTCTTCAGCCAACTTCTCCTTTTTATAGGGAGCATGATGTCTCTGGTATGGGATACCCCTGTTAGCCAATTTGGGTCAGCTGCCCTGGCTTGCTCCTCCTAGCCTAAGCACCTGGCCAGCTTGAAACTGCTAACGGCCTGCATACCACGGCTGGACTAAGATTCTATCTTAGCAAAACCAGGACACTTCGATATGAGATTTTTGTTGGAAAGACCACAGAAACTGTAAAATACCAGCTTATAAAGCAATCAGGATTATTTATACAACAAAAGTAATTTAACAAATTGTCTGTGGTAGCCATTTGATAGACCAAATCACGAAGAAGCCATAAAATGCTCCCAGCCTTGTACAAAGGCGTACTGGAGCTCCCTAAAACTGCTGGAAAAGGCAGATTCTGGCATATCCACATCTCAGCCAAAGCACTGGACAATCCCCAGATCTTGAGATCCTTCTGCATAAGACAGTTTGGATACCCTCTAACATTAGGCTTGATCATGTTTATCCCCCTGCTCTAAGGCTCCTTTTAGGAGTTTTAGAGGATAAGAGACCAGGGATTGGTCCCCAATATCACACAGCATTTCGGTTGAGCCATCTTAGTGGGCTGAGAAACAACTCAAGAGACCCAGCACCACGGCAAATTCCTTAAGCAGGAACGCACTTAGAAGTACAAACATCTCTGCACCTTTCTCTGACAAGGGCTACTCTACAGTGCAGACAGCCCTAGGAGAACCAGATCGTTGGGTAAGATGATGGCAAATGAAATTCAGCATAGACAAGTGCAAGATAATGAACATTAGAAGAAACCAATCGAACTACTCATGCACACTGATGGATTTCAAATGAACCATGACAACTTGGGTTACAGACTTGAGCATCCCCATGGACAGCTCAATGAAACTCTGCACTCCGTCCGCCGAGATGGGAAATGCAGCAAATTGAGTGCAATGCAAATGGGACAGAGAAAACTGAAACCATTGTGAACACTGTTAGACGAATCAGTGACAGCTCAGCAGCCGTGGCCAGAGCACAAGTTTTGTCAAATTGGTCTCTGGTAGGAAGCTACTAGAGGATGAAGAGAAATTAAAGGTTAGGACTATTACATTTGGAGAGAAGATGAATGAAGTGAGAAAGGAAAAAAAAAAAAAGAAGGTGGCCCATAAAATTATGCCTAATACAGCCAAGGTCAGCCTGATACTCAGATTTCCCTTTCTTACCATACAAGAATGAGGGAAACGTCTTTTCATAGGAAAAAAAAGGCACTACTATTTTCAACACAAACAAACTTACTCAACCACTGCACAACCAAGCTGCTGCACATGCATTTACCCTAGTGCAGGACTCGCATAGGCACACTTCAGCAGATAAGTCTGCCTCCATTCCACTCCTCCGTGCAGCAAGCCCCCTGTCCTGCTGCCGCTCCAGAGGGATGCTGGATGCCCTTCCATAAGGGATGCCGCCATCCCCATGCCACCCCTCCAGGAGGGATGCCGCCATCCCCATGCCGCCCCTCACAGCATCCACCGCCGCAGCACTGGCTAGGCACGTCGCTGGGCTAGGGCAACAGCTCAGTTACGGCTGGTTTCACAGCCTGCTGCCTAGACTCTCCCTTGAAATTATAGTTTCAGCACAACGAGGAAAACAGTTACTTTCATACCTCTAGAAACTTAAATGTTTTCCTCCTTTAATTCAGACTAGGAGTTTTGTCAAACTTAGCTTCCATCTCTTTTTTAACTCTTGCCCTAGAAAACAACACTGATTTGTAGCAAAAGCCCTGCTTATCATGCGCCCTTAAACATTTTGTGCATGCCCTTTGCTACTTATCTCTGTCTCTCCAGGCCCTGGAAAAGCAACAGCTAGTTTTCATTTATATTGCCAGGAACGTCTTGGAAAATGCTGGAAGCGGCAATGAGTCTCCAGGAGCCATTCTGTCAGGGGACCGCCAGTGCTGAGGGCTCCCCACGGCGGGGCGACCATCCCATGCCCCAGGCAGGAGTGGGGCAGCTGGGGGGCACCAGGGCAGCCCCAGCCCTGGGCATCATGCACCTCTCTGGGGCCAGTCCGGGTTGTGGGCCCACCTTGGCAGGGCCCAAGGCCCGGCAGGGGCTGAGAGCCCATGGGGTGTTGGGTCACGGGCAGGGTGGAGGGAGCACCGGTGGGTGGGCAAGGACAGGAAGGCCCATTAGGGCCCTCAGGGCCATGACACATTTAAACTTTAAGTATTAGGGGTAATTCCTCTAGGTACTACGGTTCTCACATTACTTATCCCTCAAATCTAAAAAGTGGTAAAAGAGCACCGGGAATTAACTGTCAGTTACGAACATTTCTCATTTTTATCTCAGCCAGTATCAATTCGTGCTCCCTTCAAACATCGAAAACAGAGGATTCAGGGGATGATAGCTCAGGGAGTCTAGCTTCAGCTTCCAGAAAGACAGCTAATCAACAGGTAATCAACAAGTAACCAAACAACCCATCTGGGAGCACAAGAAGATAACAAGGTAATAAATAGGAGCCAACCGAGATTTGTCAAGAGCACATCACATCAGACTAACCTAATTTTCTCCCGTGATGGAGTAATCAGTCTTAAGGATGTGGAGAAGCAGGAGATAGATACATCAGGCCTTTGGTAAGGTTTTTGATAGGGGTTGGTAAGACATTGTCATTAGCAAGCTAGAGAAATAATAGCTAGATGAAACTACTGTGGAATGAGTGAAACTGATTTGAAAGCCACTGTCGAGTAGAATTACTAGCTGTTCACTGTCAGAGCAGAGGGGCTATGGTGAGAGCAGGTCTTAGAGGTTTGTTCAGGATGCAGTGCTATTCAGTATTTTCATAAGTACCTTGGATATTGAGACAGAGTGTGTTTGTCAGATCCATAGGAAATCCATCAAAAACGTCAGAGACATTGGGAAACTGGATTAGAATTCAAAATTATCTCAAGATAGGAAAAAACATGTCTGAAAACAATAAATGCAATTCAATAAGGGCACCACAGATCTCCACAGTTCATCAGGTCTGTGCTAATACAAATCATGGCAGAAATAGCAAGGAAGCAGCTCCTCAGAAAAGCCCCCAAACCACACAACAGCAAAATCAGATTAAGAGAGGAGAGCAAACACCATCCTGAGCAAAGCCCAGACACCTGTGAACAAGCCTGGCAAAGCAAATATAAAGCTTGTGTTTAAGGACTGACTTGCTTTATGAGATTCTTTTCCTAGAATACAGATGTTTGACTACAAGACCTTTATCATTGTTAATTTAAAATATACTTGACATGAGCAGCACAGGTTCTCTACAAAATAAGTAGTCGGTCCCCTGCCAAACCCTCTGAGGAGGGCAGTCCGACATCCACCCTCTCTTTCCTTTCCCTTCACATTAACACCTCTCACTTCAGGAAGAAGTCAACATAAGCCCATATGAACTTTGGATATATTAAAGGCACAGTATGTTCAGCTATGTGCAGAGACAAGCCTTTTACCACATCAACAAGACAGTTCATACCCATAAGTGCTTTATGCAGTTACACACCCTGTATCCCAATGCTTGAGGCTGGAACTACAAGTGGGAGTTATGGGAGCAGAAGAACCCAGTTCCTTCTGACTGATGCTCTGTGATAGGCCAAAAGAATTTGCTACATGGAAGCAGAAATAGAGATGAATAGGCACTGGAAGTGTGAGTGTCTAGACTAGGGATTAGCAAAGTAGTTTGCACAAACTAAGGTTTGTCCCAAACATTGCTGAGACCTTCGACACAATTCACACACCAGAATTTCAGGAAATACTGTAATACCTTCTAATCTCATTTCACCATTTCTCGTTTTCACACATGCTTTTCCCTTTCAGTGACAGAATGGGCTGAGATTCTCTTCCGCTGTTGAAAGCACATTCTTATTTGTGTTTTGACATGGTTCAAGAGACCAGAAACTGTTTAAACAGTGAAATTAACTTTGTAAGCAAGGGATTAAGGGAAAGGAATTAATGCCACGAACATCCATGAAAACTTGAGAGCCTCATTTCTCAACTAGCACAGCTACAATCCTCTAGGCCTGGTCACTTGTGAAATAGCAAGACTATAATAC